CTGTACTGTAAATAAGTAATGTGAAATCGGGAATGAGGAATCAAAATTACGGGCTAGTATCCGTTCCCGAATTAGTTTGTCATGTTGGAGTACGCCAGGAGACCCCGTATACTTTAAGTAATATCACGTGCATTTTGTGTTAGGTCTTGTGTGCAACCAGCTGAACGCACTATACTCGGTATAAACTCGAGGTTTGGTGAGAAAGTGAAATGGAGCCGACCACTCTGAAACCATCAGCATGCCAAACTAGTGACCCATAATACTCAGATCAAACGGAGATCGCTGAACAGTTGCGACGCATTCTGTAGTTAACCTGATGGCCCGCGCTACTCGTAGGTTAAACCCATATGGCTAGCAAGAGCCGGCCACGATCTGCACGGTGTAGGTTACAGAATCACTTCTAGCACTGTTGTAGGTTTTATACTCGGTATGGAGGGGAGCTATCTGTGGTTATATACCCGAGAGACATACCACAGTATAGTACAATGAAAAAAATACAGCTGAATTTATTACAACAAAAGGCGTACATAAATTGCAGATAACAATGAGAAGCAAAGAGACAACGCGACGATCTTAACCAATGGTTTCTAGTGGTGATCCATTTTAGGATATTATGGAGTTGGGCGGTGGTACTTCACCGGACAACAGCGATAGCTATCTCCACCGACACATTACTATGTCGTCTGACCACGATCAATGTCAAACATGCTCCTACTTGGCTGCCGATTTCGAGGGAGGTAGTATGGCGTCGCAACACGATAGCTACCACATTACGAATTCCCTCACAATCTGGAGACGCAGCGTATCAAGCTGTACACAATTGTGAGTGACTCAGTCAATGACCAGTTCTGTCGTACTACTAAACGGAGATGTGTAATTCACAAACGAATTTGTCCCCTTTTTGTCCAGCTCCTCTCGTGTTTTAAATAAAATTCAACATTCCAACCTAGGAATTTCCTGTTTATCTCACATGATAGTGGTTTTTAAGCCTGCATTATCTCACTTTAGTACAGCTACTAAACAAGTTAAGTTTCTTTAGAAATTTCGTGCTCTTTCAGTACCAAAATGACTTGTTCCTATTTTTTTTATAAAGTTAACTAAGCCGGCTCCCGTTTTTCCATGAGTAAGCTTTTCGTCTTAACGCTTGTTTTAGGTAACTGTTGATACCGAGGCTAAGTATCGTCCCCGTGTCGCACTAGGCCTTCGACGGATTCCTGTACTGGTCACTTTTGGAATGACTGCGGATGCCACAGTTATTGTTCAAGATGCAACGGCTCGAGAGGATGCTATTCTTACCGGGGGTCGTGTAATGATTGGTGTCACAAGTTTTTCAGAAGTATGTTGTCTTTACACGACAGGTCTCACCAAACCACTAAGATCGACCAGTTTAAGCAAGTGAGTTTCAACATGTTTTATTTTTTTCAGAGTATGATAGTTTTTCAAAGGAGCAAATAGTGCTGGTGCCGGGCAGAGTAGTTCACATAATTGAGCTATTCGTTCCTCATTCTAAAGTTCAGTAGTTCTGTATTCTTGAAAATGGCATTAGGTTCTCTGTTTAGCCTCCTGGAACACATTTCCCTTGCGCTGTTAGGTTAATGACGAGGGCTGTCACACCATGGACTTTCTTATGCCCAAGCTGGAAATAACATTCCGTTTCGCGTGACAGTTTGGGAGCGGGGCATCCGCTAAGGAATCCGCAGCGTAATCAACCACGGCAGTTATGGTGGCTAGACTGCATTATGGATTGGATTACACACATACTTTTGCTGCAGGACAAACTGCTGCGTTCGGAACTGTGTTCTAGACTCACTAGAAACGTACTGGAATATGGGAGTGGTTTAATATTGAAACATCTATCTGGGTTGCTCACGATCGAGAGTTGTTGTAAAATTTTTATTGTAATATGTACCGCAAAGTCTGTTTTTTTGTTATCTGAACGGAATCCGATCCTTACCTGTGGTGAAGTTGTGAACCTACTAACCACTGGGTCCGTAGCCAAACGCGGTATCTCGACCGCTCCTGTCTAGGCTTGGGCAAGCTGTCATTATCTCAGCTTTCATGCTTCCTTCGAGTAGCATGACCGCTAGGCACTCAAATGGTATCTGTTACAGCTGGAAGATATCCTGTTCTAGGTTCCACTTTTCATATTGCAATACCACGCGTATTTCCTTCCTAGATGTGTTCGTATGGCTGACTCTAGAGCCCGAAGTTTAGTGGCGCTGGTCAATCGGGTTTTGGACGGACTCAGGCGCCAACATGAGGCAATTCGTGCCGCGATGCACGCACGGTCAAGCGAACTGGATGCAACCAGAGATAAATCCCTGAATGCACCCTTGGTCTTGTCTACCATTAGTTTTCTTCAAGAACAAGTGAATGGGATGCCCGAAGGACTTGAAGAAGGCGAGTTGATTGGAGAATTTGATGAATACGTTGACTCGGCTGATGATATGGATGTCGTCTCAGATGAGGCAGATGCTAGCCAACTGCCAGCTGAGACTGGAGTCGCGCAAAACCCAGCTGGGCATTATCAACCATATGGTGTTATTGAAGTATCCTGTCTAAAGTTCGATGAAAGCGGGCTAACAGATAGTGGTGACGGATTGAAGCAATTCACCGAACTGTTTGACGTTCCAGGAATCACCGCTGACGTTAATTCCTCAACAGCTTCGCCAAAGCACACAAGACGCGGAACAGCTTCAGATCGGCGATACTCGATGGAAAGTAAACAGAAATCAAACAAGAGTCGACTGAAATGAACATGGGTATAGTGCTTCGGCCTATTGTACAGTTCTCCGTCTGTATTAAACCAAGGGTATCTGACCTCATTACGTGTTTTCACATTCCACCTGATGTGTGCATGTCTTCTGTCCCATTTCACTTTTCGTGGTCTTTCTGCAGCTTATTTGGCCGTTAGTTATTCGGTCGGCTACAAAAGCGGGAGACGACATTGCTAAAATGTATTGACTGTTTTAGCTACTACACTACAGTAAGTAAGCGGTCGGGTGATCTCGTCCGGAGAGCTAAAGCAGTGGCATACTAACAGTTGAACTGGTTCCGTTGCATGTGGAAAAGCTGGTTTTTGTTGATCAGAGACGTTAAAAACGCTGCATATCTCACTTTTTTAAAAGACAGAATGAGATTCTGCAATCGTGTAGATTGATATAATGCAACTCCAGTTAAGTGAACACCTTCGGATCATCGAAGAAGTGCAGGTTAACTGGTCGCGACTACGAAGCTTGGACTATGCGAGTAGCGCGTTGCTTTTGGAAAATGTCGGGGATTTGTATGGCTTTCGTCAGGGACGCTTGTATGGTTTTCCACTATTTAAAAAAAAATAATCGGGTGTCTCCTTGGATGATTCCGCACGTAAGGCCACGATCGTGAACATGTAGTTGCCGGTTATGTGCGCCTTCTCTTTGTTCACTTTGCAGCTGGGATTTCAGCTTTCGCTACATATCCAGTATTCTGACTACAAAACTGTCTTAGGTCTGACCTTTTACCGAAAGTTTCTGATGGTTCTGGTCTGGCTTCTTTGCTGCTGTTATAAGCACGGCCCAAATGGCTCAAGCACAGCACTGATAAGCCGCAAGCTCAAGGAAGCATATTGGATCGATCCAAGCTGCATTACAACTCCCTACTAGGCTAATTTTATCGTATTAGGAAATATCGGCGGCTTGATTTCTCATTCAATGGGCTATCATCATGTGCGATGTAATGCGATGCCAGCAACAGATCAGCGGCATTTAGAACTAAGCTGTCTTTTTATCAGGCAAATCAAGTAGTAGGAAATGTGTCAAATCAATTAAAGGAATGATCCTGGAATCAAACACACTGGTTGTTCCCCATCGATCAATGAATCGGGCCTGCAGTTCTAGGTGAATAATTCACGGACCCCCGAAAACTTTGGCAAAAGTTATCTCAACAGGTCTCTAAGATGGATCTACCCATTGCGCGCTGTCTTCTGAAACGCTAGAACTAAAAGTGCTTTAACATGGTTGTTCTGCAGCTAGATACTCATGACACACTATATTGAGTGATCCTGGGTACCGATAGAGTTTTCATCTCCTTCCCGGGGTGAATGCAATAAAACTTTTCCGATGGTCACAAAGAACGCCTATAATTGTCCCAGAAGCACATCGTACCCACAATTAAAGCGTTGATGTGCACAACTATACACCCATTACAACGTAGCTTTTTTATTTTCCAGTAAGCACGTGTGTCGAAGTGCTGTGAGGTCGCGTATCTGCGTTTGTTAGTGCCAGTTTGACTCCCTATCTCTGCATCATCATCGTCATCGTTTTTTAAAAGACAGAATGAGATTCTGCAATCGTGTAGATTGATATAATGCAACTCCAGTTAAGTGAACACCTTCGGATCATCGAAGAAGTGCAGGTTAACTGGTCGCGACTACGAAGCTTGGACTATGCGAGTAGCGCGTTGCTTTTGGAAAATGTCGGGGATTTGTATGGCTTTCGTCAGGGACGCTTGTATGGTTTTCCACTATTTAAAAAAAAATAATCGGGTGTCTCCTTGGATGATTCCGCACGTAAGGCCACGATCGTGAACATGTAGTTGCCGGTTATGTGCGCCTTCTCTTTGTTCACTTTGCAGCTGGGATTTCAGCTTTCGCTACATATCCAGTATTCTGACTACAAAACTGTCTTAGGTCTGACCTTTTACCGAAAGTTTCTGATGGTTCTGGTCTGGCTTCTTTGCTGCTGTTATAAGCACAGCCCAAATGGCTCAAGCACAGCACTGATAAGCCGCAAGCTCAAGGAAGCATATTGGATCGATCCAAGCTGCATTACAACTCCCTACTAGGCTAATTTTATCGTATTAGGAAATATCGGCGGCTTGATTTCTCATTCAATGGGCTATCATCATGTGCGATGTAATGCGATGCCAGCAACAGATCAGCGGCATTTAGAACTAAGCTGTCTTTTTATCAGGCAAATCAAGTAGTAGGAAATGTGTCAAATCAATTAAAGGAATGATCCTGGAATCAAACACACTGGTTGTTCCCCATCGATCAATGAATCGGGCCTGCAGTTCTAGGTGAATAATTCACGGACCCCCGAAAACTTTGGCAAAAGTTATCTCAACAGGTCTCTAAGATGGATCTACCCATTGCGCGCTGTCTTCTGAAACGCTAGAACTAAAAGTGCTTTAACATGGTTGTTCTGCAGCTAGATACTCATGACACACTATATTGAGTGATCCTGGGTACCGATAGAGTTTTCATCTCCTTCCCGGGGTGAATGCAATAAAACTTTTCCGATGGTCACAAAGAACGCCTATAATTGTCCCAGAAGCACATCGTACCCACAATTAAAGCGTTGATGTGCACAACTATACACCCATTACAACGTAGCTTTTTTATTTTCCAGTAAGCACGTGTGTCGAAGTGCTGTGAGGTCGCGTATCTGCGTTTGTTAGTGCCAGTTTGACTCCCTATCTCTGCATCATCATCGTCATCGTTAGCAAGACATCAGTGTTCAACACCGATGCTTCACTGCCGTACAACCATGATTTATTTGAAAGCCTTATCGTAAAGAAAAAGGTAGAGGTGGACGGGGAAGGGACTTAGTGCTAGCTCACCACAATCATCTCGAGGTGCCTATACCTACAAGCATTCAATCAGGCGATCTGGATGGAAACTGACTACAAGAACGCCACTGAGATCGGTTGGCAGCCATATCCTGTAGTGTTTCCAACCAGTGAGAATCACGCGGTTTCCATCCTGCAAGGCGAGTAGCACCGACAGCGCCCGAGCTTTCGTGATCTCCTTCATACTACTCTGCCAAGTCAATAGTTGGCCACCTCTCTGTTTACGCCGCTCTGAACTGGGCAGACAAAATAGCACTCTCTTCGGCAAACGATGGTTCGGCATACGCAACACATGTCCCACCGAACGCAGCTTCTGGTGCTGGATACATTCTTCAATGGAAATACCCGTTGCACAACCGAACACGCGCTTTCTAACTGCCCCATTAAGGAGATATCTAGTGGCCAAATACACCGGAAACCCTACTCCTCGTTCGAAATTAACGGCTGCTTTGCTGAGTCGTTTTGTCAGTGTAATGGAGGCTACTCTGTTTGGTATTGCCACAAGTACCGTGGCTTGCGCTAGGTTCAGAAAACGGTCGGCTATGAGCGCCGCCATGATCATCCTCCCGGCCGGTCGTAGCTTTTGGTGCTGAAGTCTGTTCCATCACGCTTCTCCCGTCAAGTGTTCAACAGGGACGGAATGAATTCGATAACCTATAGTGTAGATTACAGAAGTCCTACGCGTGATAGCGCAGGGAACTCGATCAACCAGCTGTAAAATAAGTTTTGAAATAGTCTAGTCTTTTTCTGAAGCAGTCCAAGGGTTACAGTAGCGAAACAGGCTTATAAACGTGAGTTCGTTCTGTACAAGCTTGTGACAACTTCCAGTCGCCGAATAGCGTTCCCATCTGTTCTGAATCTGCGAAGGAGGAAATTGATGACCCGTAATTTTGCTGTCTTAGAATTAGGCACACGGCAGAAAGTTTGGTAAATTAACCATTTCCTCTTCTCCATCTCAACTTTATTCGCTCGTAGCAATCTTCGCATACCGGTACCAAACAAGTAATAACTTTTTTGTAAATCTTTGCGACCTAATTTCGAGGTAGTCTGTGTGCCACACATGCCAAATATGAGCATGGTAGCGAATAAGACCGACTCAACCTGGTCTCCGGTTCCAGTAATTTCAACATGCATGTGAATACGAAATGAATCTCCAAACCCAATTACTGTACCAGTCAGACATTGATTTCGAGAAGCGTGCCTACCTGGTGAGAGCAAAACAAGAGGTAACTGGTAGTGGCAATCGACCTATATCAAACAAGGGGACTTAATCGACCACCTCGACAGGTCCTCGAGGCACCCTGTAAACATTTTATGATAGAATACCGAATACGAAGAAATCAGACCAGTTACACTGATTTCGAAGTGTGTAAAATGCTGCTACAACACTGGGCGGGATCAAACCCATACATCGTGCTTGCAGGCGAGTCAATCGATGTCTACTGATACCCACACGGCCCATTCATGGAAAATTCTAATAGGTTTGGCTGTTATCGACAGCTTCATCCTCACTTTTTAACGTTGCAGACAGTACTTGGCAGATTCGAAATATACAGGTCCTGAGTTTGCTTTCTAGGATGTAGGAAAACCACCTAACCTAATTAGGCCTACTATACAGGTTTACACTTGAAACCGACTTCAGCTGAAGAATCTTAGGCAGCGGAGCCAATTCCATCGGACTGGATTATGCTTTTTGATCTCATCAGTAGATGGAGCTAAGGGCGTTCTGTAAGAAGACGTTGGTATGGTCACTGGCAGTTGTAGTTAGAAGAATAGGGTGGTGAGAATATAAGGGTTATCACAGAGTGACCACCACGAATCTGGTTCCGAAATGTCAGGTTAAGTTAAGCACCAAATAGAACGGATGGACAATACTGACGGCGCGTACCGATTCGGAAGAGGGGCTATTAAGTTCACAACGAAGCTCTCCAACAGCACGTATCGGCGACAACAACAAAGATGCACAGTTCTCCATCTATCTCGATAAAACTAATTGAATTTCTGTGGTCTTCGATTTGCAGAGTCCATTCTGGTCGACAAATGCACTTTAAGTACATACGTAATTACCTCCCGTTTCTCACACAGCTCGAAGGGAAAGATTCTGAAAAACCTCAACTCTGATGCAGTGCAGTGTCAAAAGCGCTGGAAGTACTTGTCGAACATAAGATCAATGAGCGAAGATACAGTAACTCAAAAAGATACCACTGTCCCAAAACTACAAAATAATTATCAATTTTGCTACGCGTAAACGGACAAAATACAATTGAAAAGTGGGTATCTGAGTTATCCTGAGAACAGCGAAATGATTTTTCACTGTAGAGGTCCACTGGCAGGATTTGCCGCGTAGCCTAATAGAAAAAAGCTAGGAGGGGTTGGTTCTGGAAGGACCAGCGGAACACCAATAATGCGATGAACACATTTCTTCCAGTCGCGATACAGTCCGCTCAAAAGCGAATATATCTTCTGCGCTTGAGAACAACGATATGTTTTCCGGTCCGTGGCTGTTCTGTAACAGGAAGAGACAACTGCTTACAGACCATTGCCAAACGACAACAGGAGATATGCGTAAAAATCCTATTTTTTCACATTAGTTTGCATAGCGGGTCGCCAAACTAAGACAACCCACAGAAATGTGGATTCATTCGGTAATAGTTGACGGAACACACACAAGCAATAACATAATATTATAAACCAACCGGACTTAAGAGATGGCATTTTCTGCCATCCATGTAGGTGATATGTTTAGGCTGTTGCGTCTGCTTGGGCTCATGGGCACTGAGCACTTGAAATAAATGGTGACTTTTCCAGGAGAGGGAGGATGTTCCTCCAGATATACCCAAGTCTGTACGGTTTCGGGTTAAGGTAGGAATTAATGTTACCCATAAATACCAGCACGAAAATTTTCCTTCAAAGACCGGTTCCCCTTACATCTTGGCGCAAAGGGCACACTCGACTGTATCCATCAAACACACGTCGCTTCCCGAGTTTGCTCAGGTTTCAGGGCACGAGTTATACGGGCACCATGCATTGCTACAATGGAGAGTAAAGTGAATAAACCACAAGATCTCATTTCATTAAACGTCTGTTCCAAACTGGAACGGAAGTTCCGTAGGAGAGACTAGAACCAGCAAACTGGTTACCGATTGTCTGCCCAGGCCTCAGTACACAGGCGAAAATCAAGGAACCGAATAACGCTGCAGACTGAACCTAAGTAATCTCCCAGGCGATCATCGCTGTCGGTGAGTATGAGGAACTCATTTCTGCGGATTCCATTTATGATATACCTGGTCTTGGCAATCAGCATAAGACTAATCACATTGGGTTAACGTTTCCGGCTGCTGCAGAATTGTACACTGTTTCACCATGAGTTGAACGTCAGTCAAGCAATTATTTGATCGAGCACATCCAACAAGTCGTTAGATTCACTCTCGGTGCTACATGACAGAACCACCGCCCGACCTGTTCTGCTTCATGCTTGCGAAACCTTATTGATGCTTGTTTCAAGCACTCTCAGGACAGGTTTGCGACTACTTGTGTCTGAGGAAAGTTCTCACCACCACTTCTCAACCGCCGCTCCTAACTTCAATGCCTTGTGGCTGGCTCCACAAGCTTCCTAAGTCCTATCTTAATGAAATCAATACTGGATCGACCTCAGCAAGGGTTTTACCACTGACCGCCGTGCAGGCGGCTCGAAACATTCAAGAAACTAACCCATCCGTAGGCAGACATAGAGCAAGGAAATAAGTATCCCGTTGAACCGCGTTAGCAAAAGACAACGTGGGATGTGGGGAGGTTTAGCTCATGGCCCACTAGGCACCAGTAAATGAATGAATTCCAAGATACAGAACGTGGACGCCGACAAAGCACAACACCTATTGCTGCACCAACGAACAGAACAGCTCAGAAAGACAACTAACAACAACCTACGGCCAGTCTCAGTATGTATACAACCACATGCACACCGCTACTCAATACAACCATTGATGAATCACTGCACTTCGTTACCAACGACTCACTGGTGTCATTGCACAGCGAAAAACCGGCGACCACGTGTGTAACCTGAATTACTCATCGTAGATAAAAGTCAGTGTGGTATGTACACATGAGTACGTCAAGAAAGCATAGGAGTTTAAGCAAACCAGTGTTCTTGAGGTCCATACTCACCGTGCTTAAGTTCAAGTCATCTATCAATTGTCTATTTTGGTCTAGCAACTCTGACGAGGAGCGCTGTTCGTGGCGAATCAGTGACCGGATGGGTAGGTGTGCACCAATCACAAGCCGCACCTTTTTCTCGTAAAGTACGTCAATGAGCTGAGTGAAGCGCTTTAGACTTGTCCGGTGAGACAATCCCAGTTCAGGAATTTGAGTTAGGATCACGGTGTGGAAATAGGATGCCAGACTCAGGTAATCTGCGGCACCCAATGGCTTCAAAAAGAACAGAGAGATGGAATGTACAAATGAGTTTTGTGATAGACTTCAGAGAACAGTGGGATCAAGGCAAAGCTATGGTCAACTTACCTTGTTACATAAGTCGGCAAACGATGACATCATCACTCTGTTACCGGTGCATGGGAATTCAACCAAACGCGCATACACATTCATGGTGATCGAAACCGGCGGTCCGTCTACGCAAGTAAAACAGGAGCGAAAACTATGAGTCCGCACTGAGTGGGTATAGAACTTAGTATGCTAGGGTCTCCACCGCATCAATGGTGACAGATGCCATGTTATGACAATTAAGATCGATTGTTCGTGTATGATGTCTAGAGGTCAAGGGGCGGACAATTTGCAACCCCCAAGACAGGTGACCCAGAAGAACAGAGCCACCGATCCTCGATACGTGCATCCCGAAGGACGGATAATATAAGGGCGAATGTTTCTCACAAACAGGGACAAAATTTTACTCCATATGTGTTATCCATTATTAATCCCGCTCAATGCTTCCCACTGTATGCTTTAGATTGCAGACCAGATACATGTACTGCCGTCGCCAGATTAATTGACAGTAACAACAGCGATCATGAAACGACCCATATCGCTGTGAATCCAAGCCAGTAGATGATTAGCAGCTCTGTATGCATGATCGCTTCGCATTTGTGGAAAGACGTTTCTAGTCAACTATAAACTGGACACATTTGTGTGAATCTAGAGCAGTGAAGCACTGGCGTTGTCAATGGCAAGGATGACATTACTAGGAAAAACTTGGAAAAGCTATCGCGACTTTGATTATCAGCAAGGCTAGAAAAAGGGATCAATGTAAGTGAGATCATATCCGTTAAATTCGAATTATGGTGATTACCACCACTGCAAACTAATGTCATTAGCGGGCATGAGTACCGAAGCTAGAACCCCGACAATAGATCGGCAACGTAGCAGTTCTGAAATTCACATTCACACCAGAACAGTCCTTCCGCAATTATTGTAGCGTGTCCATACCAAATGAGGGAAGCAGTAGACTCGGGTTTCGTTCTTATAAGAACTCATCAGCAATGAATATCTAATGGCCGTGCCGGGGTTTGAGCTCCCAAAATCTGACATCCGAGGCTTTTAACCGTTGGTCAAGACGCAGTGAACGCATGTGACCTCACGAATACCCAGGTGAACACCAAATAAGCGATGTTTGATGACATTTTTCTACATTTTCAGCTTAATAATACTCGCCCTGCAATGTGATCGGTTAGATTTCGTAGAAATTTAAGATCGAAGCGGGAAAGATTAAAAGCCTTTCGAAAAGGGCGCAGTCGTAGTGAGCACAACAATATGCCAAACTCATACGGTCACAATCGAACGTCTTTCTGAACGTGATAACCCTTCACAACAATCGAATTTTGCAAAAAAAACAAGCAAAGAAGCAGAACGTTTTCATACCCCATACAACAAGTATCCTCATGAGACTTGAAATAGTTTATTAGTCTGCTTGCCCCCAAGAAGTCGAAACGAACCATTTTCAAATTCCTCCACGTGTTTGCTCCCCAGGGGAGTACTACATAACTTACGATGTCCATCCTCCTCCGCAAGCTGGGTGAACCAGTTGGCAAGCTTTTCATCCAGGTTGGGTGTTTCACCATAGCTAAAACCGAAAACAAATAAAAACCGCTGAAGTGGAAAAATGGGGACGCAGTTGGGAGGCCATGGAAGGCTAAAACTGTCACTAAAAAACAAGCGTCAGACAAATTTACGAAACAATAATTTTGATTTTAGATAATGGGGTGATTCGGCGTGGAGTCGAGACACCTGGCGAAAGATAATAAATCCAGGTGTGGTACATTTCGAGACTAAGCGTTTTCGACACTGGAACGAAAACCATTCATTGGGGATTCGCGACGAAGGGGCCAACACGAGTACCAGCGAACTAATAGAACTGCTTGACCTATGCGCATAGTTGAATGAGTAAAATAGAAATTCTAAGATGTGAACAACCCCATTATGTTCGTAATGCACTACTCATAAGGTTGCTGAAGATTCCTCGAAACATCAAAAACGAGAGATTCACCTGGGTTTCAGGTGAGTCTCTCGCAAAACCAAATTTGTTTGCGAATGAGTGTATTTCGCTAGCCCCATTATGTGTCAGTCGGAAAGTGCTGACGGCTACCAAATGATATGAGCTGCTTGATGCTACTTGACGTTAAACCGTCAGATTAGTGTTAAATTATGCTGCTGTCGGAATTAGCCGCAGTTGGTCATACTAAGATGGTAATTTTTGCGGTTGTCGTAATCTTGAAGTCACTTGACTTACACGAAGTAGTATGACGGCCCACTACCTCCTTCGGCCATTAGCATTTCGTGACGGTAATCGATGTGACTGACCATGTCGAGTATCAGACATTGTTTCTGAAATTAGGGAGGAAAACGAAAAGGTTATGAGATATGAGACATTCGAATCAGATGCAAAGCTAGCTGGCGTCTAAATAATTCACGAAATGTTTCCAGGGTTCTAAGAGTTCGAAAGCCCTTAGGATGACCAGAGAGCTGCAGCGTCACAGGCTTCAAGCAACTCGATAACTAAACGCCAGGTTGAACTAACTTTCAACGTCATCGGTCCATCGATTGCAACAAACGAACATGTTATTTCAAGAAAACGAGTAAATGTAAGGGTAAAAATACGGATATGTTGATCCGGAAATGTGCGAGCACAATTGCCAGAACCCCGACACAGGATTTTCCACAAGATAGAGCACGCTATCTCCCATGACAGTTGTGCAGTCCCGTTCCAATGTCGCAACATTCCAGGTTTGTTGTATCCAAAAAGAATGGTAGAAATACTACTTTCTAGGGCTTCTTGTTCGTTTACAGCAACCGATAAGAAATTTAATTTCTATTAAACACCCAAAACAGCGTGTCGTATTTGAAGTTTATAAGTTGACAACATTCTGGGAAGTTCGACGCATTCTGGGCGCGCCAAAGGCCTCTGGAATTCAGCGGATAATGAATCGTTTTTAGCATACGTTGGTCGGATTGACGTATACCTCAACAGGACTCGATAGGATGAGTAAAAGCATAACTGTTATCAATCAGTCACTTCACACACATCAAAGACTTCCAATCGCCTATCGTGGGGCGGCCTTATATCACGCCCCGCTATCCTGCGCACGATGCGCTCAGGACAGGCCGGTAGAACAGCACTGCAACGATGTTCTGCGAGTAGCTGAGGCTGAGCTACTGACATAGCGCTATCGCAGCATAACCGACGAGGATTAGGTATGCAAGGATTCAACTTTTTCATCAGTCGGTCAACATTAGGCCGCGTTAGGCTAAACTAACCGTTACAATAACAATTGAGATTTTTTCTTCTTCAGTTTCACATCACTCTCGTTTTGAACAGTCGTCCTCCTGTCCTGGCGCAATTATTCATGTGAATCCACACCAAAGGAAGGAAGCATTGGACTCGAGTTTCATTCTTGTTAGAGCTCATCATCATTGAGATTTCAGTGGGGCCTACGTGTTTGTCGCCAATACCGTCAGGCGACCATGCCGAGTCGTCACTTCTCTGGTTTACTCCTCTCGACCTGTACAGTTAGCTGGGGTCCGGAAAGGTGTTCTAGCAGACATGATCACAGGTAGATTCACCGAATCTCTTAACCATCAAACAAAAAAAACAGGCAAACCAGCACCACAAAGGATGCACCACTCACCTAGGTGGGTCTCGTCTACCATTACCTAAACGAGGATCAAGACGTATGTCCTGAAGTAAACCATCCGATGGTGACAATCTTCGTCTAGTCAACTGCTCAACGGTAAATCCACTGTGACTGAGATGTGTTCTCCTTGTGATGGTGTGTATCAACCACTTCGGGAGCCAGAAAAGGGCTCCTCTAAGGTTTTGGTGAGGGTTGTTCCCTGGAATGAGGGGGTACTTGAGCACCGAGACCATTCTTCATCGAATCGTCCAGTTGTGCCAGACGATTTTGACGGTTGAAGAAAATGTTGAGCTTAAAAACCATTTTGTTGATAAGGTCGATTTTATGAACAACCCTGGCTTGCAAGAGGATAGTTAGTGTTTCTAATAAGCGGGTTGTTAAGCATTCGAGATACGGAATCCGTTCCAATTACAACCCATTTGATTTTATAAAATACCAAGAGAAACTATCAAAGGCAGCGGAATAGCTCTGACTTTAGCTGTTTCTAGCCCGGTGTCTGTCTAGTGGATGGTGTCGACAGCAGTGACAACTTTCGGTTGTTACGAGTTTACCCATTAAACTGGTTGACGTGCCCCAATTAGTGCTGCTGTGCAGCTTGTTCTCATAAGCTCAATTAGTAGCAGCCCCAATCCTACTGCTCGGGTTTTACATTTTTCTCATGCTAGCCAAATCAACGACAGTAGGAAGTAGTTAATAAAAGAAACGGAGCGATCCTGAAAATTATGAAGAAGGCGGGAAGGGTGGTTATGAGCTCACGTAACCTGTGTGATGCTGTAATCCTCATTCGCAGTATGTGCGTACGGCAAATATTGTTGTGGGAGCGGTGAGGTACCAACTCTGATGGAAGCCTTATTCTGGCTGCTTCTAAAATACAAGAGGTAACCTAAGAAGTCATAAAAGTTGCAAAATTATCTTTCGCTCGCCGATTGACGGAATCCCGCACCAAAACCACTTTGCAGCTGGCAGTTAGGTATTGTTACGGCCGAGAAGCGTAACCCGCATGCAACCGTCCAGAAGATCGGGCCACTTATCGACCAAGAATCAAGGCGAGCTCTGAGTGTTTGAAAGTGCGGAACCAATAGCTAAAAACGATTCAATATCCAGTAAATTTCAGAGGCTTTTGGAGCGCCCAAAATGCGTCGGAATTCCCAGAATGCTGTCACCTTATACATTTCAAATGCGATGCACTACATGCCTTTTGACCTGGTTTTGGGCGCTAGCTTGTAAGGTTCAAACCGAGTACTGAGTTGAGGCACTATCGTTATTACATTCGTTCAAAACCTATAAAATTAGGGACTATCAGAACGCGTATTAATCTGTAGTACACATTGGATGAGCTTTCAGTACCACAAACCAAAGCCAGGCGGAGAATGAACAGAGCATCCAAAGTAGAAACATACTGCACCAAATTCTGTTCATCACGAAATTTTGGTGAAAAGATCAGGGTCTTGAAAATAAGTTCGGTCGACACCTGGATTCTAGCCGCTGGCGACAGTGACAATGTCTTGTCGAAGATTCGGAAAACAGCAGCTTGCAAGTTTTCATAAAAACTATTTTCCTATGCAGTCTGAAAACAGAGTAAACGGGACCAACTTGAATGTGGAACTTTCCGTCGTATTTTGCGGCGGGATGGGCGTCCATACTATTAGGGCTTCGATGGCTCCTCGATCGACAGCGAATAATGACAAGAAGCTGTGAAAATTCGTGAGGTTTTTTGTTACCATTCTGTTCGGTGGACTTGCGAATTATCGTAGAGTGGCAAAAATTTTAATTTCTATTGAACAACCGATCCTTCTGTTCGCACCCAAGCACCATACTAACTACTGTTATGTCTACGACAGTGAAGGTGTTTCAGCAGGACCCAACGGTGAATTATTGTAAATGGCCACTTATAGGAACTTTTCGATAAATTTGGTCTACCGCCGGACACCTGTAGGGGACCGGATATTGCTAACGGGAGCATGAAGATGATACCA